GGTCAAGCATGGCGAATATTCTCCAGCATCGAGTGTTTAATATGCGTCCGGAATCATTCACTTATATTTCATTACAATTCAACGAATTTATTTTTTATACGTTAATATAATCACTACTGAGTAATAATAAAAAATTGGTCGCGCGAAATAATTAATTAAATCACACAACAAGCGGGAAGGACAATTCATTGTTGCCTCGGCAAGTTGCTTAACGCGACACCCTGCCACACACGCACTCCAGAAACTCAGTGCGAGCTATTCCAACTTACGTACGCATACCCGAAGAAGGTAATATTTTTTAAATATAAGGACGCACAATTTTAAACGAAATATATGGGAGGGTGATTGTTATTTGTATCAGCAAGCTAGTTGGCGTGTCACCGTCAAATACATGCACAGGCTATCATTAAAAGAATTTAATGGGCAGTGAGGAAAGGGGAGTATTTTTTAAGGGCGCGTGTAGTAGGCGGGCAATCGGGCGTCCTAGAGTAAACACTGTCTCATCCCGGATTTTTGGTAGCCCAGTTGGGCTACCGAATTTGAAAAGTGGTAGCCCCAAGAAAGAAACTGGTAGTCTGTGGACGTGGGGCTACCGCTAATTTCGAGCCCTGAATATTGGTGACGAAGTTTTAGAAACAAGTGCAGATGTAACTTCTTTCAAAGTGGTAAATTCTATTGTTTTCAATGTTAGATATAATATTACCATTGGCTACACTACATGTACATTGAGAAAATACTGATTAACTGTATCATGTTTCTTTTTATCACAGCCATGTCGAGATCGAAAGAGAAATCGCCGCCTTGATGATTATGCAGATATGACATCATCTGCAACAAGATCACCAAGAAAACCAACCAAAATTAGCCTAGCATCCTCCTCACCAGTAAGTATTTTATCTGTAAATGTATAAGGCCTTAGTTTTTTTAGAAGAACTAAAAATTCATGGAGGCAATTGTTAGATTGCTTGATGCCGTTCAGAATTGTCTTATTACTTTTATTACTATAGTAGATTGAGGCCTTTTGTTTTCAAGATTGACTGCCCCCCCCCCCCAAAAAAAAAAAACACACAAGATAAAGCCTTGTTTGTAATAAAGCAGATGAATAAATGAACAGGATGTACAAAGCGTACATTAATTAATTATTTTAATACCAATTTTTATTAATTTCTAATTAGACAGCTTTGAGGTTTATTGCTTGTCAGTGTAAAAATGAAAGGGAGTAATACTACAAATGGGCATACAGATGTTCATCTTCTGAAATGATTCTTATTACAAGCTTCCCATTTCAACTTGATATTGGTACTTGACCTTGGATATCAGCATCTATAGTGCAGTGATACTAATGTTCAATGAACATCAGCACTTTGCTTGTTTTTTTTTTAAATTTTCTAATTTTGTTCAATTATTTCAGACAAATGCCCAAGTGTTTTCTGTTGAATTCACTGTTTTACACCTAAAATATGGCAAACAATTGGAAATGTATCATGGCGCTAGTTGTCAATTTGGGACTAAATGTCCTAAGCAAATTTTGAGACAACTGAACCCTGAAGTGCTTGAGAAATATTATGTTATTAAATTATGTGTTTGTTTCCTGTTGTCTTCAAATGTACTTTACTAGATCTACATGTAGGATACAAATCATGCTTTCGTTGTTTGGTAATTAAAAGAAATACAAATAAGATTGACTAAGGAGAAACTTTTCTGTCAATTAAATAGTGTTTTTTTATTTACTGGATGCTAAAAACATTACATTGTACTGCAACATGCAAGTCTTATTTAAGAAGAAAAGCAGCTTGTTAGTTGACATGTTTTTTCAAAACATTAAATTCTGTCTTGTATATACTCAACTGAAAAAATGTGCAATTGTATGTGGTCATATATGAACTCAAGTTTGGCCTGTCAAATGGATGCCATGCTCACTGAAGGTCTACGGTTTTTTCTTGTGTTTATAGAGAATAGGTTACAATCATTCTAATCTCTCAATCATAACTGGCACACATATGTAGTTGCATTTGTCTCGGGAGGGGGGGGGATAAATTTGATTTAAATTAAACAATGTGGTAATGGTTTACAATGCTGAATAATAAGGCCCTGTTTTGTAAAATGTAATAAATGACTAGTACATGTAATAAAAAGTAGCTTTAAAACTTTTTCATTAAATTATTTAGTTCAAATAAACTACATAATATTAGTCATATGCCATACACATGTACCGTAAATGCTATAGAGCATGGTTGTATTTAAAGGTATTGTTGTGTAATTTTCAGTTCAATATTTATCTTCAAATGTTGTCAGGTCATTCATATTATGGTATCTCTGCAAGATATAATAATATGAATATTGTTTTTTTCAGCGCTTACCAACCCCAATGAGTACACCTGATAAAAGAGCTGCTCAAAAGATTGGTTCTAGATTAAAAAATTTATTAAAGTTGCCTAAAGCCTATAAGTGGTGTATATATGAATGGTTCTATTCCAATGTCGATAGGTAAGAATTGAGAACTACAGGGCTGTCATAACAAACATATATACTAGGCTAACAAAGTATTAATTTTTGTTTATCATTCAATTTTTTCTGTGAATTATGTGAAAATAAAACTATCCAAATATTTTTTACTTTGACATTATTCATGTGATGAGGTCTATTTATGTTTCCTTCAGTTCAGTGAACTCCACTCATGAGCTGACGACATGCTAGCCTCTTTGATTCGATACCACTTGACGTTGCTTTTGAAAATTCTTTCATAGGTAATTTAGAAAATTGTTGAACGTGATACTTCAGAATTCTTTGATAAAAACCTTAGTTGTAAATACCTTTATAGCATTTGATGAATAGATGCCATAAAAAAAAATTGCTGGTAACTTATGCAAGACAATTAGCAACATGCATTGACTATATTATTATAAGATATTAAATTTTGCTGTTTGTGATGTCTTTCAAAACAGCTTAGTTGTTTCATAATTTGTACAAAACTCCAGAATGGCTGCACTTTAAACGTACATCATGTTATCCTGGTTTGTGTTTTTATTTCATTTCTGTGTATCTCTTGCAGGCCTCTCTTTGAAGGAGAGAATGATTTTTGTGTGTGCTTAAGAGAAAACTTCCCTCAACTTAAAACCAGAAAGTTGAGTAGAACGCAGTGGGCAATGATTCGAAGACTGATGGGTAAACCAAGAAGGTTTGTATCTAAAGTCATGTGCTCATATCATATTTCTTTCATGGGCCAATAGCCTGTCATTGTCTGCCAAAACTAAATATTTGGAAAGTTTATATGCATCATCAAGTTCAAGCTTATACCTAAAAAACTGTTTTGATTTTTTCACAGGAGAGAGAGAGAGAAACCAAATTTTTCAAGACATTGATAGTCAATTCAGTTTAGCAAAATGGATTCAAATTTGAATAAAAGAATATACATGTATTAGTATTTTTTTAATTTTACCCATCTTATTTATTTGTATTATAGATGTTCACCTGCATTTTTTGCTGAGGAGAGATCAGCATTGGCTGCTAAAAGGCAAAAAGTACGTCTTTTACAGCAACGGAAAGTCAGTGATTTATCCGATATTAAGGATCTACCTGATGAGATTCCATTACCTTTAGTTATAGGTACCAAAGTTACAGGTAAGAAATCATTTCATTTAAAACCCAGTTTCATTTCACTGAGTAAAAGTAGACCTAATTTTCTTTTAGTATTCGTATTTTAGTGGAAAAATACAATTAAAATTGCATATAACTGAAACAATCAGGATCACTTGCGGCCTGTGGTGTCCCACGAAACTCTTAACTGGGCTACATATGTAATCAATTAGGGAGTAAAGGGTGGTGGTTGTCGCGTATGGGACTCGTATGAACAAAGATGACAACTTTGAGTGTTGCACAGACCAACGAGTACAAACTTAAATGTTACTAAGATTGAACTATGTAATTTCCATGATCATTGTAGAAGGTATTGAAGGAGTCTGCAATTAGTGCATGTTGCGCACAGATTTGTATTTGCAATTGTATTTGCAATTTCCGTCAGAAGAGAACATTGGATTGTGGGAAAATCTGTTTATCAACGCAAATGTTGCAATGGCTCAGCGCAACGACCACTGCCCTTTAATCATGCATGTACATTACTGTGTAGATCATGTGATAATCTAATTGTTATCAAAGACTAGACAAGAAATAGGTAGAATGCTTTCAGGTTTGAATTTCAATATTCAACTGGCACTTGAAGAATTTGTTAGAATTTAGATCAAGTGGAACATCTCAGCAAATGCCTTCATGGGCTCTGTAAGTTTACATGTATTTTAAGGTTAGTTTAGACGGATTTTGGACAGACTTTACCACTAACCTGTGAATGATGAAGACAGTGTACATAACAATGGATTTTCATCAACTTTGCTAGTCAAAGAAATTATAGTATTACAACACTTTCCAACTGCAGTGTACTGTCAACTACTTTACTTTCGCTGAAAGGGTGATTTAGTGAAAATAAATTCTAGCGAATATACCTTTTTCCTTTATTTTATGTAAAATATCTAATCAAAAATCAGTTAAAATAAATTCCATACAAAACAGCAAAAATTAATTACAGCACTTATACTCTCTTGGCATTCATTTGTATATACTCCAAAACACTGAGACCACAGGGATAAGCAACTGATATTTTGTTTGATATGATCTGATCTGATTTTGAACACTCAACATGCAAGTATTAGTTACTCGGATAAAATGTTAGGAATGCTTATCGTTGAACCAATTTTAAAGCTGAAAGATCCAAACAAGAACAATTCTATGCAATAGTATATGAACAGTAGTACATAAATTATATTATATTATATTAAAATGATATGTGATCAAATGAGTTACATGAAAGGGTTCTGTTTGTATCTAGGTCGGTTGCGGCATCCACAGGATGGTTTATTTACTGGTCAGATAGATGCTGTAGATACACAGAATGCCACATATAGGGTTACTTTTGATAGAGCTGGTCTTGGAACACACACTGTTAATGATGTGGAAGTCTTGGTAAGTGATAATAATTGTGGCATACTTTCTGTTAATGATTGTAAATATAAATCTCACAGAAACATGTATTTATATAATTGTACCACTGTTTGCCATTTTATGGCCACTGTTATATATGCCTCAAATTACATCTGACCATTAACCAATTGCATTTGGCAACTCTTGCTTTCTTGACTTGATTTATTTTTCACTTCATGTTTTGATTTTGTACTGAACATGGGGATTTTTTATAGTACACTCAAGTTCCAAATAAATGTACCCCCCGGACAAAACTTCAAAATCCAATAAACATACTTTCTGGAATAAACATACCCCACCAGTAAATTATTCTAAAACGTGCTCTTACTGGTGTATATACAAACTTTTCACTGTCCCTTGTAATTAGGAATATAAATGGACAATATACTTGCAATATATTTCAAATCTCTGTTTGCCAGGCCGCAAGCTCTAATCATATAGCAAACCAATCACGACCCGAGTCGGCCTGGCTGAGAAACTTCCTAGCCAATCATTATAATGGTGACGTATTCCGCGAAATTTGATCAGTTGCAAGGATAATACTTTTCCCGGTTTGTGTCGTTGGCGGAAAAAGCAAGATAACCGTTTAATCTTTCAATCTTTCAAATAGGCGTCACTCTAATTTAGGCATCAAGGTGGAGTGAAAAGGCTTAATTTGGTTCTACAATAGGCGTCACAAATTCTTGAAAAATTATAGTCAATCAAAAATTTTTCATATGATAACAAAAAAATACTCAGTATATTTAATATGTATTAATTTTTACCTTGCCCGTACCATCAAAGATGGAAGGGAAAGATATATTAAGGGAAACATTTTGTCCGGCGTTGTTGTTGTTGTTGTTGTTGTTGTTGTCGTCGTCGTCGTTAATAAATGTTATTGTGTGCATAATAACTTTACTAATTCTATTCCAAACTTCATCAAACTTGGTCACCTTATT